CCTACATGACCTGGGAGCAAAAAAGGAAATCACTGCAGATAAAATTTGCAGATGACCCAAAGATTGGCAGAGTGGTTACACTGGGAGCCAGGGCAGGCACAACAATTGATCTGGAGCATTTGGTGAGCTGGGCCCCTACAAACAAAGGATTTTAATACAGTCACATGAAAAGTTATTCTCTCAGAACAGGCAATGCAGGCTCTCCACTCTCCTGTTTATGCATCCAAGGATCGAATCAGCTGTTTTGGACACAGCATCACACTGGGAGCTCATGATGAGTTGGGTGTCCACAGTGACCCCTAAATCCTTTCAGGGTCCCTGCGTTCCATAATACAGTGCCCTAGTCTGTGGGCTGAGCTTGCATTGCCTGATCACTTTCCTCTCCTCTAAGTGCTTCAGAATAGATTCCTTGAGGACCTGCTCCGTGATTTTTCCAGGGACTGAGGTGAGGCTGACCGGCCTGTAGTTCCCCGGATCCTCCTTCTTCCCTTTTTTAAAGATGGACACTACATTAGTCTTTTTCCAGTCATCCGAGACCTCCCCCGATCACCATGAGTTTTCAAAGATAATGGCCAATGGCTCTGCAATCACATCTGCCAACTCCTTTAGCACCCTCGGATGCAGCGCGTCCAGCTCCATGGACTTGTGCTCGTCCAGTTTTTCTAAATAGTCCCGAACCACTTCTGTCTCCACAGAGGGCTGGTCACCTTCTCCCCATACAGTGCTGCCCAGTGCAGCAGTCTGGGAGCTGACCTTGTTCGTGAAGACAGAGGCAAAAAAAACATTGAGTACATTAGCTTTTTCCACATCCCTGGTCACAAGGTTGCCTCCCTCATTCAGTAAGGGGCCCACTCTGCACATCTTCCATGTGTTTTTGGACCAATGGAAAAAAAGCAGGTACAATTCAAGTAACAAAATAAATGAGCTTATGAACAACCAGAAAATATACTTCTCAAAAAAGCCACAAACTGTCTGGAAAGGAAGAGTAGATTGAATTACTTGCCTCAGTGAAATTAAATATCCAGAGAATTGCTGGGCCTGTGATCATGATGACTGGGGCTTGCTCACCTGTGGCTCCCCCTCCCCGTGCTGTGGAGGCACGGCCAGGCAGGTCTGCATCTGCAAGCAGGCGCCTTGCTTCAGGTGCAGCTCCCATTGGCCATGCTGGCCAATAGACTGGGAGCCTTCTGTCCAATGGGCTGGGGGGGGAGGCAAAGGGGGAGATTGTAGGGAGCTCTGGAGCAGGGGAGGCAGTGGGAGAGGGGTGTTGTCTGTCACAAAGGGGAGGCTCTCTGGAGAGGGGTGACGGGGCACAAGGGCCGTTGGCGGTCTCTCAGGGGGGCAGAGGGTTGTGTGGGTCTCTGTGGGGCGGGGGTAGTGATGGACAGAGCAGCCGCAGCCCCGGTCTGCTCTGCGGGGGGTGGGGGGATGTTGCTATAGCCCCCTGAGGAAGCCCCCTCTGTACTGTGTATTTTATGCCAGCCCCGGAGTGCCCATCACTGCTCCTTTCCCTGCCCACGGCTCCATCTGTCTGTCCCCACAACCCCCCGGCTGTGTCTGTGTGTCTGTCTGTCCCCACAACCCCCCGGCTGTGTCTGTGTGTCTCTGACAGGGACAGACTCCTGGGGCTCTCTCTGCCTGCAGCTCCCTCCCCCTCCCTGCTGTGGAGGCGTGGCCAGGCAGCTCTGGCCCTGCCCCCTGCAGCTCCCATTGGCTGGGGTTCCCGGCCAATGGGCTGGGAGCCGGGATGGCGCGGAGGTCTCTCCGCAGCACGCAGCGACTCCGGGAACGGGGGGAGCTGCCCCCGCAGTGAGAGCGCCCCATGTTGCCGACCCATGGCGTGTGGCCCCCCAAAGCATGGGGCCTGGGGCCCGGAGCTCAAACATTGGTGGAGCTGGGCCCACCTTCATGAATATTGGTGGAGCATGGGCACCACAGGCCCATATAACTCGCCGCCTATGGGTTTTACATCATAGAATTATAGAGCCACGGGGTGAGAAGGGACTGCAAGAGTCAGCTAGTCTGCTAACATGCAGGATTTGTTGTGTCTAAACCATCCCAGACAGATGGCTATCCAGTTTCCGTTCGCTTCCACGACCTCCTGAGGCATCAGTTCCATTGTCTTCCAGTTCTTAAAGTTAGGAAGTTTTTCCTGAGATTTCATCTAAATCTGCTGTGCTGTAGTTTGAACCCACTGACTACTGTCCTGCCCGCTGTGGCCAAAGAGAACAACTTTTCTCCATCTTTTTTTATAGTAGCAGCTTTGCATTTATCTGAAGACTGCTGTCATGTCCCCTTTTAATCTCCTCTTTTCTAAATTAATCATATCCATTTCCTTCAGCTTGCTCGTATGGCTTGTATTTCACCCCTTGGATCAGCTTTGTCACTCGCCTCTGGATCATTTCCAGTTTCTCTACATCCTTCCTATACATTGATGACCAAAACTGGACACAGTACCCCAGCAAAAAAAATGCACATCCCTGAGTGATGTCGCTGTATTAACCTAACCTGGGTGTAGACAATATGAGATGGAGGGGAGGTGGATTACCTATGCTGCTGGGAGAACCCCTGCCATCAGTGTAAGTAGTGTCTACACTGAAGCACTATGGTAGAGCAGCTGTAGCATTTTAAGTGTAGACAAGCCCTCAAGCAGATCTTCCAGGTAAGCATCCAGTCTGGATCTGCAGCCATGAGGATTTGGTTAATCCACCACTTCCCTTCGCAGTTTGTCCCAAGAGTTACTCAACCACAGTGCTAAACATTGGGCCCTTATTTCCAACTGGAATTTGTCTGGCTTCAGCTTCCAGGCATTGGGCCTTGCTCTGCCATTCTTGGCTAGATTACAGAGCCCGTTATTACAATTTAAGACAAGATATTGCCCACGATTTTCTCCCCATGAACATCTTCGCTTGATCATCTTTTTGATAAGATAAATAGATGAAGCTCTTTAAGTCTCATTCTCTGTGTGCCATTTTCTCTATCATCCAATCATTTTTTAGCTTTTTTTCTGTACCCTCTCCAATTTTTCAACATCTTTTTGAAATGTGGACCCCAGGACATTTCACCAATGGTAAAATCTTTCCCCTGCCCCCACTCACCACTTCCCTGTTTATTCATCCAAGGACCACAACAGCCCTTTTGGCCACAGCATCACACTGGGAGCTCACAATGAGTTAGTTGTCCCCAGTGACCCCAAATCCTTTTCAGGGTCCATGCATTCCATAATACAGTGCCCTAGTCTGTGGGTTGGTCCCACATTTCCTGTTCCGAGAGGATAACTTTGCAATTGACTGTATTAAAACATTTTGTTTGCATGGGCCCAGCTCACCAAATGCTCCAAATCAATCAGTATGCCTGCCCCGGCTGCCTCATTGTAACCGCTCTGCCAATCTTTGGGTCATGCACAAATTTTATCTGCAGTAATTTTCTATTTGCTTCCAGATCATTGATGAAAATATTGAATAGCATCAGGTCTAGAACTGATCCCTGCAGAACCCTGCGAGAAACACCCTCATTCAATGACAATAGTCCATTGACAACTGCTTTTTGAGATCTGTCAGTTAGCCAGTTTTTAGTCCATTAAATATGTGCCATACTGATATTGTACAGTGTTCATTTTTTTATCTGAATGTTTTCCCCTACTAAATCCAATGCCTCAGAGAAATCAAAGTCTCTTACATCTGCGTGGTTCCCTTGATCAACCAAATGTGTACTTTAAAAAAATGAAATTATTTGAAAAGACCTGTTTTCCATAAACCATGTTGTTGACGGGCATTAATTACACTCCTAGACTTTTTTTTATCTAATCCAATACCAGCGTTTCCATTGTTTCATAACCTTGTCAAATCATTTTTTTTAAATTTCACTTTCTTTTTTTAATTGTTTATATTTAACACAGAACTGTCCCTTATTTGCCTTTTTTTAAATTGTTGGACTTTTTTTTTTGTGTGGCTCTGCTGCTGCCTGATTGTGTACTTCTAGTTCCGAATGAGATGCATGGTTGATCGGTCAGTTTGTAACTCTGGTGTTCTTAACTCTAAGGTTCTATTGCAGATGCTGTTTGACATCCTCCTTGACTGCTAATGGACTGGAAAGTATTTCATCACCTCATGTGATATGAGTACCTCAAACTGCTTCTTTCCAAATACAGAACAAAACTATTCTGTGAACACATCTACATTTTCTGTGATATTAACAAGTTTCCTTTCTCCCTCTAGGAATTGGCCTAAACCTTTTCTAGGATTTCTTTTCTTCTTAATATACTTAATAACCTCCTTTTTGCTATCCTTAGACTTGCCAAGCATGGATTTTTTCCTGATGTCTTTTAAAGTCCCCTATCAATGTTCATAACTTCCAATTTGAATTACTTGCTAACTATTTTCCTTTTTCCACATTTCCTATCTATTTTGCCCCTCCGCCTCCCCCCCCCCCACACAATTGCTGTCTTCAGTTTGCCACTGAACTGGGTTTTTAGCCAAAGTTGTCCACTTTCTTCACTGTGGAATCATGGTTTAAAGAACTCCTAATTTCCATTCCCATATTTCTGTCTACATGTTTCCTTCCTATCAGGTTGGGAACTCTTCTCTGTTTCTCCATTTGAATGTAATCACTTCCATTCTTTTCTTTTCTTCTCCTCTATCACATGCCCCCTTCTTTCTCTCTTCTCTAAACTAAATAGTCCCAGATGTGTAGGAATTATTGATGCATGAAGCACCATACAATATGGAATTCGCCTCCATAAGGTCAGTTGTTCATATCTCATTTATCTGAATAATGAAAATGTCATTTTTCAGTTTCCGAAGAGCGACCAATCTGCTTCACCCATGAGAACAGCCTCAAGTAGTGCATGTAGTCTCTCATATTGACATTATCTCTCCATTCAGGTATTTGTACTGCGACCATCACCCTAGACCCTGGGCACATACAGGAATTCAGGAGAACATACGGCACATGCAGCAGACACCATTTGGCCTCAGAGTTGGACACTTTCTCCCCATGCCATGTCAGATTCTAACACAACCGACTTCACCAACCCCTCTACCTTCATCCTGCTGGGCATTCCTGGCCTGGAGGCAGCCCATGTCTGGATCTCCATCCCCTTCTGTGCCATATACATCATAGCCATCTTGGCGAACTTTACCATCCTTTTCATTGTGAAGATGGACCTGAGCCTCCATGAGCCCATGTACTATTTCCTCTGCATGCTGGCCGTTGCCGACCTGGGCCTGTCAACATCCACCCTGCCAAAAATGCTGAGCATTTTCTGGTTCAATTCCAGGGAGATCGATTTCAGTGCCTGCCTCACCCAAATGTATTTCATTCACTTCATCTCAGTGATGGAGTCTGGGATCTTCGTGGCCATGGCTTTGGATCGCTACATGGCCATCTGCAATCCCCTGAGACATTCCAGCATCCTGACAAGCCCCATGGTGGCCAAGATTGGCCTGGCGGTGGTGCTGCGTGGCGGCATGCTCGTACTGCCCTATCCCTTCCTGGTGAGGCGCTGGCCATATTGCAGAACTAACATCATCCCCCACACGTACTGTGAGCATATGGCTGTGGTAAATCTGGCCTGCGCTGACATCCGTGTCAGTAGTTACTACGGCCTCTTTCTGGCATTCTTTCTATCCAGTCTGGATGTATTTTTTCTTGCCTTGTCCTATACCCAGATCCTCAGGGCCATCTTTAGCCTCCCCACAAAGGACGCCCGGCTCAAGACTTTTGGGACCTGTGGCTCCCACATCTGTGTCATTTTAGCCTCTTACATCCCAGCTCTCTTCTCCTTCCTCACTCACCGGTTTGGCCACAATGTGCCCCTGCATTTCCACATTCTCATTGCCAACATGTACCTTCTGGTGCCCCCCATGCTAAACCCCATCATCTACGGGGTGAGGACCAAACAGATCCGGGACAGGCTGCTCCGCCTCTTTGCTCATAAAGGGACCTAAGTTTTCTCCTGGTGCTCTGGCTCTCAGACCGAACTCCGTGCAGAGCTGGCTGGTAACATGGTGCTGGACCCTCTTTCCTGAATCACTGAGGCTGGGTCTACACTACAGCGGGGTTCCGACCTAAGATACGCAACTTCAGCTACGTGAATACCGTAGCTGAAGTTGCGTATTTTAGGTCGGCTTACCTGGTGGTGAGGACGGGGGAAAGCCGACCGCTGCCGCCGACTCCGCTGCCGCCTCTTGTCGAGGTGGATTTCCGGAGTCGACGGCAGAGCGATCAGGGATCGATTTTACCGCGTCCTCACAAGACGCGGTAAGTCGATCCCCGATAAACCGATTGCTACCCGCCGGATCGGCGGGTAGTGAAGACGTAGCCTGACTGAGCAGTCAAAGAGACATTAGATCCTTTCCTGACCTTACTGTGCTGATTCAGCATGACAAACCAGGGAATTGGTCTATGTACCTACCCGTTGGGTTTCCATCTTTCTAATTGTTGGTAATTAGATCACAGGAGCACTGTATCTAATTCCTATATGAAAGAAATAAAATGTAATAATTATTAGAGCCACACAGCTATAATACTAACATTTTCTTAAATCTTATGGAAAGCCACTTAAGAGCCACTGATTAAGTGTAAAGTTTTTATGTATGTTCTTACTTTGTTACTAACTCTTCAGAGAAAGAGAACCCCTCAGGATTCCTGGGATCTATCTCAACTCTGGAAGGGGAGTGGGGTCTAGTGGGTTACAGTGGTGGCAGATACAGCTGCAGTCCATAAAAGAACATCAGAATGTCCATACTGGGTAATGCCTTTGGTCTATCTAGCCCAGTATCCTGTCTTCCATCAGTGGCCACTACCAGGTGCTTCAGAGGGAATAAACAGAACAGGCAATCATCAAGTGATTCATCCCCTGTCACCCACTCCCAGCTTCTGGAAAACAGAGGCTAGCGAAACACAGAACATGCTGTCGGATCCCTGCGCATCATGGCTAATAGCCATTGATGGAACTATCCTCCACAGAAACATAGAAACATAGAGGATTATGGTTGAAAGAGAACTCAGGAGGTCATCTAGTCCAACCTCCTGTTCAAAGCAGGACCAATCCCCAACTAAATCATCCCAGCCAAGGCTTTGTCAAGCCTGGCCTTAAAAACCTCTAAGGATGGAGATTCCACCACCTCCCTAGGTAACCCATTTCAGTGCTTCACCAGCCTCCTAGTGAAATAGTGTTTCCTAATTTCCAACCTAGACCTCCCCCACTGCAACTTGAGACCATTGCTGCTTGTTCTGCATCTGCCACCACTGAGAACAGCCGAGCTCAATCCTCTTTCGACCACCCCTTCAGGTAGTTGAAGGCTGCTATCAAATCCCCCCTCACTCTTCTCTTATGCAGACTAAACAAACCCAATTCCTTCAGCCTCTCCTCATAAATCATGTGCCCCACCCCCCTGATCATTTTTGTTGCCCTCCGTTGGACTTTCTCCAATTTGTCCACACCCTTTCTGTAGTGGGGGACTCAAAACTGGAAACAATACTCCAGATGTAGTCTCACCAGTGCCGAATAGAGGGGAATAATCACTTCCCTCGATCTGCTGGCAATGAGCCTACTAATGCATCCCAATATGTTGTTAGCCTTCTTGGCAACAAGGGCACACTGCTGACTCATATCCAACTTCTTGTCCACTGTAATTCCCAGGTCCTTTTCTATTGATCTGCCGCTTAGCCAGTCGGTGCCCAGCCTGTAACGGTGCATGGGAATCTTCCATCCTAAGTGCAGAACTCTGCACTTGTCCTTTTTGAACCTCATCTGATTTCTTTGGCCCAATCCTCCAATTTGTCTAGGTTTCTCTGGACCCTATCCCTACCCTCCAGTATATCTACCTCTCCCCCCAGCTTAGTGTCGTCTGTGAACTTGCTGAGGGTGCAATCCACACCATCCTTCAGATCATTAATAAAGATGATGGACAAAACCAGCCCCAGGACCTGATCTCCATGAACTTATACAGTTCTTATTGGAACTGAGTTATAGTTTTGGCCTTCACAATTTCCCTTGGCAAAGAGTTCCACAGGTTGACTATGAAGAAATAATTTCTTTTGTTTGTTTTAAATCTGCTGCCTATTAATTTCATTGGGTGACCAATGTTCCCTCAATTTTTTTATGTTTATGTGTGGAATTAATTTTGGTATGTGTGGCAATATGGAGGTGATATGAGCTGGGGGCTGGGGCAAGGGGTTTGGAGTGCAGGAGGGGGCTCAGGGCTGGGGCAGAGGGTTGGGGGGCAGGGGAAGGAGGGTTGTGGCTGGGGATGTGGGCTTTGGGGTGCGGCCGGGGATGAGGGGCTTGTGGTGTAGGCTGCCCCCGGGACTGCAGCGGCGAAAGAGGACTCCCCCGAGCCCTCTCTTGCTGCAGCAACTCAGAGCCAGGGGAACTCCAGCAGGGCTGGGCTGGGGTAGGGATGCCTATCCCCGGTTGCAGCAGCACCAGCGGGGCTGGGCTGGGGGAAAGGTGACTGTCCCTGGCCATGGCATCTCCAGCGAGGCTGGGCTGGGCTGGGCCAGGGGAGAGACACCTCTCCACAGCTGCGGCAGTTCCAGTGGGGCTGGGCTGGGCCAGCCCTGGGACGGGGTGCCTCTCCCCAGCTGCGGTGGCTTTAGCTGGGCTGGGCCAGGGGAAGGGTGCCTCTGCCCCGCTGTAGCAGTTTTGTGGGGCTGGCTGGGGGAGGGGCACCTCTCCATGGCTACGGCATCTCCAGAGGGGCTGGGCTGGGCCATACCAGGGGAGGGGCGTCTCTCTCCACCTGCATGGCCCTTGATAGCCTGCTTTGCGGCCACACAGTTTAGAAGGAACTTAGTGGGTGATCCCTAGTTTTTGTCTTATGTGAAGGAGTAAATAACATTTCCTTATTCAATTTTTCCACACCAGTAATGATTTTATAGAACCTCTATCATATCGCGCCTTTGCCATCCCTTTCCCAAGGTGAAAAGTCCCAGCTTTTTAATTTCTCCTCATGCAGAAGGTGTTCCATACCCATAATCATTTCTGTGACCCTTCTCTGTACCTTTTCCAAATCCAGTATATCTTTTTTGAAATGGGTTGACCAGATCTGCATGCAGTGGATGTACTATGTGGTTGTACTATGGATTTATAGAGTCCATATGCTATTTTCTTTCTTATTATCTATCCCTTTCCTAATGATTGAAAATATTCTGTTAGCTTTTTAGATTGCCACTGTACATTGCACAGATGTTTTCAGAGAACTATCCACAGTGACTCCATCCAAGATCGGTTATTAGATGTGTAATGTCTAATTTAGACCCTGTTACATTTATCAACACTAAATTTCATCTGCCATTTTGTTGCCCAGTTCCCTAGTCTTGTGAGATCCCTTTGTATCAGTCTGCTTTGGACTTAAATATATTTATTAATTTTGTATCATCTGCAAATTTTGCCACCTCACTATTTACTGTTTTTTCCAGATCATTTATTAATATGTTGAACAACACTGGTCGCAGGACACAACCCTGGGGGGCACCACTATTTACCTCTCTCCATTCTGAAAACTGACCATTTATTCCTACCCTTTGTTTCCTATGTTTTAACCACTTACAAATCCAAGAGAGGACCTTCCCTCTGATCCCGTGGCAGCTTACTTTGTTTAAGAGCCTTTGGTGAGGGACCTTGTCAAAGGCTTTCTGAAAATCTAAGTACACTAGATCCACTGGATCCCCCTTGTCCATATGTCACGGAGTGTGGGGGGACACAAGGCCCTGCACCCCCGGCTTCCTGCAATTCACCACGACTCTCAGCCAGCCAGTAAAGCAGAAGGTTTATTTAGATGACAGGAACACAGTCCAAGACAGGTCTTGCAGGCACAGACAACAGGATCCCCTGCAGTTAGGTCCATCTTGGGGTCCCAGGGCCCCACAGCCCCCTTGGGAGGTCAGAGCCCTGTCTGCCTCCCAGCCATTCCACCAGCCAGCTCCTGAAACTCTCCCTTCAGCGACCCCTCCCACAGCCTTTGTTCAGTTTCCCGGGCAAAGGTGTCACCTGGCCTCTAACCCCTTCCTGGGTTCGCATGTTACATGCTCAGGTATCTTCCCTCAAGGCCAGTCTCCCATCCCCCAATGCAGACCGTCCTAGCCAACCTCCCCTGCCTTCCCAGCCAACACTCCCCACTCAGCATTCAAAGACCACATTAAGAACAGTCCCAGTTCATCACACCATATGCTTCTTGACCCCCTCAAAGAATTCTAGTAGATTGGTGAGGAATGATTTCCCTTTAGAAAAACCATGCTGACTCTTCCCCAACAAATCATGTTCATCTCTGTGTCTGACAATATTGTTCTTTATTATAGTACAGTACAGACCCCTGGGGGACTCCACTATTTACCTCTTTCCATTCTCACCATTTATTCCTACCATTTGTTTCCTATCCTTTAACTGGAATGCATGGCAATGCTTTCAGGATCATCTAATGATCCTTAATTTAATTTCTTATGTTACTCACCCTGCCTCTGTTTATAAACAAAGAGAACTCATCACATTCCACACGCAAGCTGTGTTGCAGTTAATTGCTCCATCCGGGGCTAGGGCGTGCACTGTGAGTAGACCTCGGGTACAAAACTCAGGAGAGGCCCCCTGACCTCCCTAAATGGTGCCCATGTCCAGCTGGATTCCCTCTGCCCTGGGGCTCACAAGGGAGCTGCTGCAGCATGATAAGAAGCCTACCTGCAGGTAGGAGGCAGCTCCGGCTGAGCAGGGGCTGCCGTGGGCTAATGAGCCAAGGTGTCCCTCCACCCTGCAGAAACTGGACACTGCCAGATCCTCTTTTCGACTGGACTTTCCGGTTGAAAACTGGGTACCTGACATTCTTAAATGGCACCCGGACACAGAAACCAAATCCCAGACTGTCCGGGTAAAACTCGGATGAGTGGAAACCCTACCCTAAGGGGCATGATGCTGGAGTGGAGATATTTGTCTACACTGCATTTTTGTCAG